TAGCTGCATTTGTACACCAGGCAAGGGGGCCCTGGATAAACAGCCCCCTGCCCCAACCCAGAGGTGGCTGCATGGCAGCGAGTGGTGTCCAGCCTCACCTTGTCTCTCCAGAGACTCGTTCCCGTACTGGACAAAGCTCTCGATCAGATTGACACACGTTCTCAGGAGAAACTGAATCACGCTGGCTGTGCTTTTATCCTGGTTGAGAAGGTCCTGGGCGTAGAGCGCCAGCTTGTCCCCCCGCCGAGCGACCCATTTGCCTGTGTCCGCGTCGAAGCTGATGAAGTCCTCGCCGTTCACTCCGGCGTCACAGAATCGCCTCGAGGTGCCGTTGGGGTGCAGGTCGCAGCGGAGGGAGCCCTGGGTAACAAAGGGGTCTGGAACAGGAAGGGCAGGGGATGAGGACGGGCGTCCGGAGGTCCCAGGAGGGGGCAGAAACAGGGGGGAGTAAAGACATAACGTCAGGTGCAATGAGGATGTTGGGCTACACGACGTTGGCAGGATGGTGGGACGGCCCTGGCTGGAGTTAGGGGTAAGTTGCAGTTTCTGTTTAAAGCTGATTTTTCACGGGCATAGTCAGATTGGCTTGAAAAACGCTGTGTTACATCAGGGCCTGAGGCAGTTTGTGGTGCAAATTTGGGGCCCCTTGCTCACGGGGTTCCCGAGATACAGACCCCCCCCCCAAAATGACCTGCTTTCAAATGGTCAGGGTACGTGTCAGGAAAGACCAGGTCCCTCGGCTCAGGGAGTGGGACACGGGGCCTTTCCCCTCTAGGAAGTGCAGGCTACAATCTGGCCCCAGACCTGGGTGGAGAATGGGACACAGGTGTTTCCCCTCTGGGGGACGCCGGCTCCAATCAGCCAAAGGACCAGGGACTGGCTGTCTTGCCCCCAGTGACACACTCAGTGGCTGCGGTGAGTGTGTCAGTTCTCAGCACCCTGGGTGGGTGGGGGAGGGATCCCCTCAGACCGCTCCATACTCACAGCCCCCTCCGTGGTGCTGGGCTATTGTGTTCACAGTCCGGCTGAAGCTGAACAGGGAGCGATGGATCAGCAGCTCCAGGTCCTGCCACTGCTTCGGGGTCAGGCCCTGCTGGGCCCAGGGCTGCAGGAAGCGGATCTCGCAGGTGCTGCAGTTCATGGAGTGGGTCTCCAGGTCGCCCAGCAGGGCCGTCCCCTGCATGTCCGTGGAGCTGGCGTTGTGGAAGACGTCGATGTGGAGCAGCCGGAGGGTGACAGACGCTGAGGGGACAGGAGGGGAGGCTGGGGCAGGGGGCAGGG